GTTTAGCCTTTCCTGTTTTGAAGTTTTGTCATCTATCAATATTTATTATTTGTGCCTGACTTCTTAAACTCTACATTTTTAAAATTCAAGTATGATGTGCAAGTAGTGGTGCATCCTTCATTTTAATTGTTGTATGGTGTTCTGTTTAAGAATATAACTAATATTTATCTATTCTATAGTTGATGAACATCTGGGATATTTCTCCTTTGAAACTGTTATGAATAGTCTTATTGTGATTGGTCTGGAACATCTCCTGGTACAAATGTGTATACTTTTCCTCAGGGAATATAACCAAAAATTAAGTTTCTAATTTATATATTAAACATACTGACTTTACCAGATAATGCTGAATATTCTCCTAAAATATTCTACTAATTTTTACTTCCACCAGCTGTAAAAACAAACAAACATGCTTTCTATTTCCAAACCACTGCCAAACTTGTTTCGGTCAGTTCTTAAATATTTGTTAATCAGATGGGTTTGGAATAGAATTTCATTGTAGTTTTAGTTTACATTTCTCATAAGATTAAGAGGAGAGAATCTTTATATATGTCTAGTGACCATGTGAATTTATTGAAAAATTTTAACCTTTAAATAACATAACATTATATCATACTAATTTTTTTTTATTGATTTTTAGAGAGAGAGGAAGGGAGAGGGAGAGAGACATAGAAACATCGATGAGAGAGAACATCGATTGACTGCCTTCTGCATGTGGATTGGGCCCACAACCTGGACATGTGCCCTGAGCGGGAATCAAACCAGTGACCTCTTGGTGCATGGGTTGACGCTCAACCACTGAGCCACACTGGCCAGGCTGATATTAACTTTTTATTATAAAAAGAAGTCAGTAATTTTGCTGAAAACAAATAAGATTTTGATACTTGTAAATATAATTCTCTAACATTTTTATTGAAGTTAATACTTAGTAAAATTAAATAAGAAATTATACAGAATAGCAGAAATTACAGACTACATATTTTTGTTGAATATTAATTATATTCTCATACTTAATCAAATGCTCACACAAAACAGATTGTTGAATTTCCTATAACAAATATTTTGGAGTAAGTATATCAGGATTTTAAATTTTAATCTAGTGTTTGTGGCAAATACATACACATCTTTGAAAGATATTTAGTTATCTTAATAATTGTGAGAAAATTTAAATTGTAAAGGTTTAAATTAAGTGAGATATATCTTATTTGTTAAAATGATTAATTGGGCATAGAAATACAAACTGTGCCTTTGGTAAATGTATAGATTTAGAGTTTTTCTGTATTTTATACAAGTGTCAAATTTGAAATATTTAAGTAAAATCTATTGACTGGAATATCTAGATATCTGCTTTATTTCATTACTCATCTTTGCTAGTATAAAACCATCCTTAAAATACAATTTATAAGGGTTACAATCCTTTATAAAATGATATTACTACACTCTGTATGTGCTTAATAATTATCTACTCTATTAAAATGTAGAAGGGATGGGCAGTCAGCCTAGAGTAAATTTAGGAATTTGATTTCTATCTTGAAGATCACATTTGACCTTCATATGAAAGGGAATTACATAATCTTGGTATGTTTTTAAAAAGTGGATTTTTTTTAAATTGAAAGAAGAATAGTTAACAAAAGGAAAAAATCAAAAGTGTCATCAAGTTTTTTAAGTCTCGGTGACAGATTAGATGATGGTGATCTTCTCCTGGATAAAAGGACTGGGGAAGAGGAGTAGGTTTGCGATTAAAGATGATGGATTTGCTATGGGACATATTCCATTGACCTAACCATGGGAAACACAAATGAAGGTTTTCAAGAAACTGGAAATGTTTATGTACTGGGGAGAGATATCCTATTCTAAATTCAAGTTCTACTATCAAAATTCATGGGTTGTGTGAATGTAACCAAACTATTTACAGGTGATTATTGTTTAGTGCCTTCATCAATAATATTGATTCAGACATTACGAGGACACATGAGACATGCAGTTAATTCTTCTGCATTTGTGAAGCTTCAGGAGTAGGAGGGTGAAATTGTCATGGATTTGACGAAATTTACTTTGGATCTTGAAGAATGAATGGAGACTTACCTGGCAGATGTATGTCTTAGTAGTGACTGGACTGAAGATGTGAACTGAAACAGCAAAATAGTGCACTTTAAAGTGTGGACTGCATGAAGAATTTACTTGTCTTTACCTTTCTTTCTGCAATAAATAATCTTTTCTTTACTTATGATACTTTGCTTTTCCATCAGAATCTACCATATCCTATAAACTATATCACAGCTACATCCATAAAGTTAATTCAGCTATTAGTTGTCTTAATTTGTCTTTTTTACAACTACTACAAAAAACAGGAATTGCACAATGGTTAATCATGCTCTGATATCTGAAAAAAAAAAAAATACATGAATTGCTATTTATCTGGAAAAACTGTACCTCGGACTGAATATTAACACTCTCCAACTCTATAGAAGAAATACAGGACAGAAACTATCCATTGTGAAAACAATGAAATGTAGATATTTAAACACATATGCCAGTATTTAGTTCATACTTTCCAGAGAAGCACAGAAACCAGTAATGCATATCAGGAAACTTCCTATATGCCTTAAAATGTTAGTAAAATTGTCACCACAAATACATATGCCATAACATTAAAAAATTGATGTTGTTTTGGTTACTGGAACTGTATTGCCTCTTAGGAGTAAGGTGATTGATGTTTCTGACGTCTGTCCATGCAAGACTAATTAACTGTACCCCGCCATGCTACTGGTGGTCTTATAGTTTGTTTGTCTTCACAGTCCGGATAATTATTGTCATTCACACATCCACCCATGGTGAGGGCTAGCATGTTTATGCACACCAGAAGAATTACTGGGACTCAGAAGATCTGGGTTCTAGCAAGAACACTGCTAATGTCTCCTTCGCTGGTCTTAGGCAAACCATTTAGCCTCAGCATGTTTGAATGCCCTCATCTATTAAATCATGGATCTTCTTGGCATTAAAAATAAATAAATAAGTGTGGGATGGTATATTTTTCCAGGGAGAGATCCGAGGGCTACCAGTTTGAGTTCTTGATAGCAAACAACAGAAACCGACTTCATGAACTGGAATGAAAAGGGGTTTTATTGGAAGCGGTTAGGCTCAGAATGCAATCTTGGACAATCAGCTCATGCAGCACTCCAGGGAAGCAAGGCACTGCCAAGAACCAGACCCTGCTGCCACCACTTTGGAACTCCAGCAGCTATGTGCCAAACACACTGCTCCTGGACACTCCTGACTGTGCTGTTGCACAGACCCTGTGCCTTTGCAGTCACCTTCAAAAGTCAAAGTCCTGCTGAGAGTGTCTGGTGTGTCCCTGTTCTGCCCACCAGGGCACAGGCAGAGGGAATTGCACTGGGCCAGGACAGGGGCTCTGTCTTCTGCTGAACTTGGGACGGCCTCCAAGTAGAAAGACAGACTGGTTGAAGGGCAGCCAGAACAAGAGTATCTATTGCCATGTCTTTCACCAACTTCTCAAAGGGATTATGACCCCAACACTTCTGCCTCAAAAGATTATGAATCATTGCATTAGATTATCTTTAATTACAGCTCTGAAATTACATGATTCTAAATACTAATTTTCTTTCTTCTATCATGTACCAACTCAGAATTTCTTTAACAAGATACAAACGCAGCAACAGAATGACTAACAACATTGTGGGGTCAGCCCCGAAGCATCTCATGATCATTTCAGTGGGTGTGTAATTATGATGGCTGGCTAACGACAGAGAGGAACAGATGTCTCAAAGTAGTTACCCAGCTGAAATTTTGGCAAACCAGTACAAATTCCTCAAACAAAAGGAATTTACTTTTTCATACCATCATCTGGTGCTGTGTTATGAGTACATTAAGGTGCAGCATGGTTTAATGGTTAAGTGTTCACACTGTAAAATTAATGAGAATGGATATAAATTACAAGCTGGGTCACCATTGAAAGTAACTACACCTCAGTATCTCTCCGTTTCCTGTTTTAGTAAAATGATAGTGCTAATGCTAGTCAGTGTGTGGCATTATGAAAACAAAAGGATGGAATTTAAAGAATAATATATGTTAAAAAATGTTTTCTTTATTGATTTTTTTTTTTTTTTGAGAGAGAGAGAGGAAGGGAGAGGAAGAGAGAGATAGAAACATCAATGAGAGAGAACACTGATTGGCTGCCTCCTCCATACCCCCCACTGGGTATTGGGCCCACAACCTGGGCATGTGCCCTGACAGGAAATGGAATCGGTGACCTCTGGGTGCTTGGGTCAGGGCTCAACCACTGAGCCACACCCGCTGGGCAGACTTTGAGGAGTTAAAATGTTTGACACCTATTTACAGCTCAAGAAATGATGATGAACGTCATAATGATAATAAGGAATACCTGAACCATGAACCAAACTTATTCCAAAGAAAATGTTTAGACATTGAGTTTTTAAGCCCAGAATGATAGCTATTTAGGTCACGGCTTTGACACATGCTCCATGTCAAAATGTGTTTTATGAAGTTTAAAACCGATGCCAGACAATCACTAAAATGTCATGTTGCAATGTACCAATAAATATTTTTTATGTGTAGATACACCCAAAATAAAAATATTTTTAAATGACCACATTACGCTAAATTTGTCAAAATATGTAAAATCCATTCAGTTGTGTTAAATGGGTTCATCCAACACATGAAATACGCAGACAGTTTAGCAACTGAATTGGTTTCCAGTATGAATGAAACAAAAGGTAGAAAGTACTCCAGGCAAATGACGTCTGAGCCAGCTATTGCCACGTTTACCCCACCACCTTGGCATTTGTGTTTGGCCTTCAGCTAACCGGAGGGGGTTAAGAAAAGTTATTTGCTGGACTACAATCAGGCACTGCCTAAAACTGGTCCAGGAGGTCTGGGTTTAATAATGTGCTTGTTTCCTTTGAAAGACTGGCTGGGTCTGTGAGCCCCTAGTGAAAGTGCCCTCCCTTTGTATTTGGCAGGTAAATGTGAATGTGGCAAATGTACGTGCTACCCGCCGGGGGACCGCAGGGTGTATGGGAAGACGTGCGAGTGCGATGACCGCCGCTGTGAAGACCTCGACGGTGTGGTCTGTGGAGGTGAACAATTAACAGCCCTTTGCTACTACATGCGACTTGCTTCCCCTGCCTTTCTTATTTTACTTACCTTGAAAACAATGTTGGAAAAAAAAAAGTCAACAAAAACAAATATACAATTAGACTTCAAAGCAATATACAGTTACGTTTGCAATGACCTTTATGTTCTTGGACTCTTGATTTAGGGGCATGTGAAAGTACATAGTATGCTATTGACATAGGATGGCTGAAACTAAATGGAGTTCGATAGCGATAGTAAAAGGCTTTGTTGCCACTGAGCAATTTAAAGTAATTTTTTATTACTCAACTCATAAATACTGAAGGAAGTATCACCTCTAAACTTGAAAAAAAAAAAAGCAGTAAGATAACTCCCTAAGTTTAATTACAAAATTACAGGAGACACACAGTATATCAGTTCCCATGATGGCACTGAGACCCAAAGAAGAGATTACTAAAAGCATGAAACTGCAAAGAAAGGATGAGACAGAGAGAATGTGGTCAGCAGAGGTAACACAGCAAAACTGAGAGTTTCAGAGGTAGGAGGTTGATAGTGTCTACCTGGTCTTCATCCAGGGGAGGGAATGGGAGTCAACATTCTTCTCACAGTTCAGTCTTGCAAAACCTGATAGAGATGATACATGCTGATTACAGCTCCTTCCAGGTTTCTGGTCCAACTAAGGTGAACTGGATGTGGAATCAGACTAAACAAATATAGCTGTATCTCTTCAAGATAATTATCGTAATGCAATTGGGCACTTTATTGGGACAAAACAAAATAGAGGTTACAACATATGAAAGGCAGGGACACTATCACTACCCTCTATCCAATATCCATGTATATCTATCTGTTCTCTCTAACCAACTATAAATCATTTGCACATTGACCAAAACTTTCCTCTTTCTCCTCTTTGCCAGCCAAGGCAGAGGCCCTTTGTAAAGACTATTGTGTCAGGTGGTGTATCTCACCCAGTCCTCATGCCAGCCACCTAGACCAAGTGAGTGAGATTTGAGGCGTGGATGTCCTGTAACTAAAAAGTGGTAGACACAGGATTTGAACGCTGACATACAGTTCACAAATTTTCCTCTATATCACACTTTTCCCCAGAGTGACATTCAACTGTTTTGACTTTATCCCAATGTTACTTTTAGTTTAGATGATCCCTTCACTGGTATTAGTTACCAGAAGTATCTAAGCAGAATAGAGTCTTTCTGTGAAGTACATTATGTGTCCTGACTCATTTAATTCTGAGTGCTGCATAGAAACCCTCCCTGGCACCTGAAGAATGCCATCTGCACATCTTTTCTCTTATTATCATTGTCATCTCCTCTGACATACAGTGTCACCTCACATGGGTCTCCTTGCCCATCTACTCTGGTGACTTGGTTGAAATGATTGATATTATAGAAACCAGTTACATCTACATATCCTTTGCACATTCCACTGAGTGGTTATTTGTTTTCCTTTTTATTCACTTCTTCATCTTTCCTGGTGATGGTTAGTCCTATTGCTTGGACAAAGAGTTGCAGGATGGAGAGGGTGCAATATCTTCATGCTCATGTTTATCCTGAGTAACACAAAGCTAGAAAAGCTACATATAATTTACAATCCACACAGACACTCTGCTTAGTATTCCTCAACAAGATAGGCGCAAGACACAGTCAATTCTTATTATTCACGGTGGTTATGGTCCATAACGTCACTGTGTACACTGAATTAGTGAATGCTGCTGAATCATTGCTCCTAAGGGAAATACAGGGCTAAGGTCCTGCTTCTGGTCACTGCATTTTCATCAATAGATCAATAATACAAAACCTTGCTTTTTGTGTGTTGCTGTTCAGAGACATCTTGCATAATATATCGTTGACTCATTAACATCGAACTCATGGCCAACAGCCGTTTAACTCATGCCTGAACAAAGATGACATAACACATGTATTTTTTTCAGTAAGGCACCTCACAGCCTTTTTGCACTTAGGAACACTGGATAACACTGCAGCACTACAGCTAGAAGCTATCTTAAATATCAAAATCACTAAGGCACAGAAATGTTAAAAGCATGGCACTATTTTACAGTGTGAGAACTGAAGTAGAAGGCAGAGCATGACCTTCTTTGACCTTAGCTGGGAATGTAAACCTCAGTCAACTCGATTTTTTTCACCATTCTGCCTGTGTTCTCAAATGTCCTGGAAAGCTTCATGAGTATTTATTTGGGAACTACAAAGACATTTTAGTAAGTAAACAAATTCTCAAACATGGAATCTTCGAATAATGGGGACTCATGTCACTCACCTTGAACCTCACTGGAAATATCACCTGCATTAGCTTTGCACTTGGCCTCAAATTCTGACTTCTTCACAACAGATAGTAAAGGTACTATGATTTTAATTCACAGGTAATTTTTGCACAGTGCATCATTAAAGAAATTATAAGAGCCTTGACTATTATAGTCTTGCATTTTATGTCTCACCTATTCTCTGTAAGGAAAATACAAGAGACAAGCCATTACTTAACATGTTTGAACCTATAGTACTTTTAGTACTAAATTTTTTTTGTATTTCCTTCTAGGTTTTGTGTGTGTGTGTGCACGCGTGTGTGTGTGTGGTTTTTTTGTTTTTTTGTTTGTTTGTTTTGTTTTTGTTAACCCTTTCTCAAGAATATTTTTTCCATTGATTTTGAGAGAGAGAGAGATTGATTTGTTGCCTCCTGCACAAGACCTGACTGGGTACCCGGGCTTGAACCTGCAACCCAGATATATACTCTTGACAGGGAATCGAACCTAAGACCTTTTGGTGCATGGACCGACGCTCTATCCACTGAGCCTGGGTGGGTTTTTTGTTTTGTTTGTTTTGTTTTGTATTTTTGAGGGGTAGAATTTTTTTCTGAATCTAGATTTATGAAACTTCTTTGGGTATTTTGATAATTTGTGTGGAGAAAGCGCACATCCTATGGTATGTTCAGTTGCTTCAGTTAGTGTGTGCAGACACTCGAGTACAATTTTTCACATGACAATTGAGTGAACAGAAGTAACCATTTTCTTCTAAGCAATGTAAGGCAATGCCCAGCAGCAAAATGAACATGAACCTCATATTCAAAAAGACCAGCATTTGGACTCTGGCTCTATTTCCTACTAGTTGTCATAACTTGGATGGGCCATTTGGTCTCTCTGCCTTGGTTTCATCATGTGTACAATAAGAATAACGCCCACTTATTGGCTTTATGGTAAGAAAGAAACATAAAGAATAAAAAGTGCCAGGTATTATGTGATACATGGGTAATCACTGAATGCCCTGTGTGTGTAATGGAAAGCAAAAGATTGAAGTGTCCATCTACATAACAGGACAAAACAATCCATCTGTCTAAAATATCTTGAGGCACTAGTTACAAAGTGTTTTGGAAGGAAGTTGGTTGGTATCCTGTAAGTCAGCATTTCCGTGTGTCAGGGAAGGAACGTCAACTACTTTGTTCAAAGCCTTTAGTCTCCCATCATGTGGCAGACAGTGGTGAATGGATCTTACTGCTATGAGTGTGTGAAACTCATCAACATCATCCTTCTAGTGTGGCTCCAGAGGAAAAGAAAATTGAGAATCACTAACTTGGGTAATTTCTCAGTTCACCACCAGACACTGAGTCATCACTCGAGTAGCTTTTCACCTGGAGGGATGAACTAGAACCCTGTGTGTCCACTGTGTGTTCAGAGCAGCATCCAGGTCCCTGACTCCAAAGCAGCATTTCAGCAAACAACAAATAGTAAAACCCAAAACATCTGTAAACCTACCTAATCAGTAGGTTCCGGAGAACTGATAGCTAGTATTGTTTATCCACCTTCCTGGCAATAACACTGATGATGATTAAACCAGTTCTGACAGGCTGGGATAAATGAGCTATTGTACCTGAAGGTGAGTGGAAGTAATTGCATAATTCTAAGCAGTTCAGGTTTGATTACACCAAAATTACAACCTGAAAATGACTGGCTAAAAGAAAAGTCAGTATAAAGTAAGACCATTCTCCATTTAATTAACTTATTAGAGAGTCATGTTCAATGATCATAGAGACATATGTGGACCCTCTCAAAACATCTTATTAACAATAAAAATTTTACATGACCTATGAATGCATGGATTTTTAAAATCAGATTAGTCATTACTGAAAAATTATGCATTGTCCAGAATGATAGTCCTTAAGATGGACTCATTGTTTAGTGGTATAGAACTTTAATTTTCACAAAAGAAAATATATCTACAGGTTGACTCACGTGTGTTTGTTTTTAGCCAAAATAAGCTTAACCAGAGCCCTCTTTCCTATCCTCTCCTATCCAGGATGGGAATAAGAAATGGACTGCTTATTGCTTTTTTTCTTCCTTCTGTGCTCCTGGAATAGTTGCCCACGAGTCCAATTTAAAAACCAAGTGGGGATAATGAAGAGCCACCTCTTAATTACACCATCAGTTTACATTTCTTCAGGGAGTTCTTAGTTCGTAGCTGCAACTGGAAGGAGCTTGTGTAGCCTGAGAGTGTGAGCTCAGGGAGCCCAGCACCGTGGGACTTCTCAGATGGAGGAAGACCCCAGACCACTCACTCAGACCAAGACTTTTTCACCTGGGCAATATAGTCAGTAGTGGAATTGTTCCCAAATTACATGTTAAAATCACAAACCTCTTGCCTCAGTTTATAAATGTACCAGTTAGGACTGTGGTTGGCTGAAGGTAATTTACACAAAGAAGTCAGTACGTTGTCACTTCCAAGATGGATCTTGAGGTGACTACCTGAGACCCAGCAACATCTCATACCCCTCCTCTGTTCCTTTACACTTTGCCCTTCCAGTGTGACTTTTATTATCATGCTCCTGGTAAACCTCCAGCTGTGTCCATCTTCTAGGAAAGAAGAAAGGGGAAGAAAAAAAGACAAAGGACAAAAGACACCTGCTGACTGAGTTTGTCCTATTTGCTTTGGAAGACAATCACTTTCTTGGAAACCTTGCCCAGAAAGTGTTCTCTTATATCTCA